TCCCCTGCCCCCGTCCACCCCCTCCCCTGCCCCCGTCCACCCCGTCCTGCCCCCAGCCAGCCCAGGCCATGGCATCTGGCCCCGAGGAGGGGAGAATGGAGGAGGACCGGGCAGCCTGGGGTTTAAAACCTGGCCCACTGCGGGTTCTTCCTAACACATCCCCTCACCTGGAAGCTTTTCTGGGGCCGCCGTGTATAAAACCCAGGGAAGCTGGAATTAAAAGCCGCAGGGGCCCGGGAGCGGGGTTCCCCGGGCCAGCCTCCCCCAGTGCTCACAGCCCAGACCCAGCCCGGCAGAGCCCTTCCTGATGCTTGCGCTTCCCCATTACAGCAATCTTCCAGATTATTCAGAGTATCAGGATGGGCATGTGAAGCGCAGACCAAGGTGTCTCCGTTCTGCTGTGAACTTTAGCCTGAACTCATTCCTGACGTCTGATGCTCCGACGAGAACCATGCCGTGAAGCCTCCTGCCTCCGCACGGCCTTCCTACCCTCCTGAGTCATTCCAGGCCCCCCTCCACACCACAGTGCCTTGCAAGAGCACATGAATAAAGCAATAACACTTGATGATTCAGCTCCGGTAGTGGACCCCACTCATTCAGTCAGCAGAGAGCAACCGCTGATGTGCTCGTGAAATAGTATACTGTGCGGATGGTTAGACTGAGTCTGGCAAGGTCTAGGTTTTAACTCTCAGGCATAACTGCAATTATCTTCATTTAAATTTGGAATCTTCGGGGTTTTATGTAGCTAGGCACTTTATTACCAAAGTGAAAGCACAGGCCATTGTCAGGTCATGTGACTGCCCTGTAATAAGGTGCTTGTAAGTGGAACAGCAATAGTTAGCCTAGCGTAACCACGGTTATCACCGGAGGCTCTCTCAAAGCCTGTAAATGCACAGTGTGAGCAGAGATGCCCAGGACCCCTCCCGACCGTACTGTTTCTGAGCGCAGTAACCTGAGATATTCTTTAAAATCGGGCAAGCACGCATCTTGTGACTTAACCAGTACTGCTGTGGCTGGAAACGCGGTCGAGTGAAGTCCCTCGGCTTTCCCAGAGTTACAGTGATTACCAGAGGGGCCTGCTGCCCCAGACCAGAGCACGGGGGAGAAGGGAGGGTGGAGTGGCGGCCTGGCGGGACTAGCCCTTGATACCCAAAAACGACAAAGGGCACATGAGCTGACAGCTCACCTGGGGTGCAGGAGCTCGTACTGGCTCTGTGATGGAAGCAGACTCCCCAGGGGTCTGGGCTATCAGTGCCTCTGCTGATAAGGAGCAGGCCTTTGGTCTTCCTCTGTGTGACTGCCTGGGTTATGGTTTATCAAACTTCAGTACTGGTAAAGGTGAAGCGATAGCGGGTCTGGGTTTTCTAGTAACGCTGCCCCTTCGTGGCCCAGTGGGCAACGCCCGGCCTGGCTGTGTCAGTGGATTGGAAGGCTGCTGACAGTGCTTCGCACACTGCCTCAGGATCCCCTCAAATAAGCTGTCTGGAGAGGAGAAGGGAATGGCTACCTAGTCCATACACAGTGCAACCTCACAGGGACCTCCTGCCCCCGGGGGTGGAGGGTGTGGAGGGCCCGGCTGCACGGACAGAGGACCAGCTGGCCAGCGGCCCGCAGGTCCCCCCTTCCCGCCCCATGCCCCCACCCTGTACTTGTTTCCCCCTTTGAAACAAGTCTAATTCTGTTTTATTGTAACCTTAAAAATGGAAGTTGTTGCTCTACATTCAGGTGCCTTATTATTTGCTTTGAATCAAATCATTCCATGTCAGAATTTCCTTTGGTTTACTATAGGTGATTGGCTTTAAGGTGGCTTTTTTTAAATGTAAAATGTTTTGATCAATTTGTTAAATTGCTGTAGCCAGCAATCATTTCACATGTATAACCTTGCATTCCCTTTGCATTCCCTTGTGATTGTATCAATTGGGGGCATTTTATATTCAGGTTGGATTATGCATGGTTGGGTAATGAAAGCTGCATCTGTCTGATTGATGGTTTAAAAATAATAAAAGTTCCCTGAGTGCTTTTCTTGAGAACGACAGTGATTTTACAGAGTTGTTACCTGAGTATCTTTTTTTTTTTAGTTATTTTAAAGAATACTTAGTTAAAAGAAATAGCATCCAGCAACAGGTCAAGCTTGTAATTAGAAGTTGGTAACAAAATATATAATAGGAGGCCCATTAAATACTTCACTTAGGATAAATGCTTCTCCATTACTGTCAAAGATTGGTTCAAGAAAAAGTAGTCCAGACAGTGTGTACCTGGTGGGTCACATGGAAGTCAGGACAGGCACCCCCCTGGGGTGCTGGGATTCTCGGCTCCGTTCACGAACGGCAGCCACGGGGCTGTCCATTGAAAGCAGTGTCTCCCTTAGTGTCGCCGCTTGTTACTATCTCCATGCCAGCTCTCACTTCCAGAGGTAGGGGTGGGCTTGGCTGAGAACCCTACCTCCTTCCTGCAGGACCTCTCCTACCAGCCGCCCCGGCTCCCCGCTCTGCTCTGCCTACAGCCCACCCATCCTGTGTCCTCCCAGAGTGCCAGTGAGCCATACACAGGCTAGAAATTAAACAAGCCATTTAGCACTATGACCATTCAATTTGTCACAGAGACAGCAAAGAGGGAGGACATGGGAGATTTGCAGCTTGTGCAGTGAGCAAGGCCAGCCAAATTGGGACGGACTCACGTTCCACGC